CTTAATCGGCCACAGTGGTGTCCTGCTGTTACTTCTGCTGGATGCTGCTCTGTTTGTCAGTTCATCATTAGATAGTGCACTGCTCAGGACAGCTTTCTGTTCAGTATTGCTTATACAAATGTTTGGCAAGGATAGCCATTGTGGTAGGATTTGAGGAATTCAAAAAGGATCCTGGCCCAAATATATCTCCCTTGCTGGTCACAGTGCCTGAAATGCATACAAGAAACATTTCACTTGAACTTTGTTTCTTTGGTATAAGGCAATGTTGAAGTGCAAATGCCACTCTCCTGAGGCAAGGTATTGAATCACTCACTATTCAGCTATTAATACTTACAGTCAGAACTGCATTAGAATCCTAATTTGATTACAAGCTATATGATTTTAGGTAACTTGCTAATTCTCTCTAATCCCCTCTTCTGAAATTTGAGATAATGACCAATGGTTATGAGAATCAACTGAGATGATGCATGTAAAGCACACAATAAATGCTCAATGAGCAGTAGCTGTTCTTAGCCTTAGGTACAGAAGGATCCTGAGAGAATACATCTAGGACTAGTAAATTTGGTTTGAGGGCCAGGAATCAGGTGAGGTCTGTCTGGTACAAGGAAACTGCTCAAAGCAAAGACCCTGATGGGGTGGTGATACAGCCAGGAAATAGCATGGAAACTCTGGGGACCTTGGGTAGGAAGAGTTGGGTGGGAGGAAGAGGGAGGACCAAAACAAAGACAAACAATACTTACATGAACTTTCCAACAAGAAAAGTATAGTATTACTCAGGATGTAATGCTTTGTGAGGTAGTAATCTCTGATACCAGGAGTGTTCAAGCAGAGGTTCGATGCTGGATACCCATCTCTGGGGAAAGCCAGAGAGTTACCCAGACAAATCTCCATAGAGTGGAAGGACATTGACAGAGTTTGGTTTGTAAGCTTTGAACTTTGATTGGTAGTATAACCAGAGACTGGGATCCTGGAGACTGACTCACACTTAAGTAAATTCACAAAATACCAATATATAAGCCAGAATACTAATTGATTAATTTATAATGAGAAGTATAATTCCAAGTGGACCAGATACTAGTGTTTGCCATCAGTATATTATCTCCCTGTAGGCATATTTACATGAGGAACTAAATACTAATAAGAAGGTTGCTTGGTAAGGATGAATTCATAGCAAGGGGAGTTCATGAGGTAATTTTAATGGTTAATAGTCTGATACCTCCATCTCCACAATTGAGAAAGGCCTCCAGAATAGTACTGAGGATATTAGCTTCCTCACTAGTCTCTCTGTGTCCTGTCTTGCCCTTAATATAATCCAGAGGATCTATTTAGTCCTAAATCTGATCATATTCTTTTGTTCCACATACTTTAATATAAATTCATAATTTTAAACTCATCCTTACAAAAAGTTTAAAATATGGAGAAAATTTCAAAAATAATACATTAAGCACTTATATACCCATCATCTGGATTTAATAATAATTCTTTTGTCATATTTACTTTATGTGTGTGTGTGTTTGTGTGTGTGTGTCACCCATGCACACACTCAAATGTGTTTGTATGTGTATTGAGTTCACACTCTTTAACATAGTTTTCTACACTTTTCATGTTCTGGCATAATCTACTTGACCAGTGTTATTTTCCTTGGCTCCCTCTTTGCAACTTATATGCCCACCATACCTAACTACTAACTGTTAGTTCCCTGGATGTGTCCTGTTGTTCTTATGTAATATACTATTGCCTATGCCTGAATATCCTTACTCTCTTTGCTTGATTAACTTTATTTGTTCTAAAAGACTCAGCCACACCCATGTTGCCATAGCATCCAATGTTTTCTCCAGTCATAACATTTATTACACTGTACATTATTGTCTGTTTACCTCTCTGACTTTCCTACTAAACTGTGAACTCATTGAGGGCAGGGACTGTTTCTTTTGTCTCTGTATAGCCATACCGCTCCAGTGTCAGATGTTCAGTAATCATAAAATCCAACTGCCTACAAGAGAGTTCTACCTAGTTATATCATAGATACCTGAAAATCAATTTGTCTACACTGGACTCATCTCCCCCTCCTACACATTCTATAAATTTAAAACATTCTTCCTGATTAATCAAGTGTCACCCAGTCTTCCAAACCAAAGCTTCAGAGACATTCCTAACTCTTGTCTCTCTTTTATAACCCAAACAAGTCCTATTGATTCTACATCCAAAGTACATTCCCAATTTATCTATATATCTTCATTTCCACTACCTGTTTATCCAGGCCACCTTCATCCCTTACCTGGAGTACTGCCAACAACTTTCTATCTGGACTCCCTGTTTCTACTCTTTTCTCCTCCAATCTATTGTATACAGAGAAGCCATAATGATCTCTAAAATTCATATCTAATTATATATTACTCCCCTTTTAAACCCTGGTCATATTACTGCTTGCTTTTGGATAAAGTCCAAACTCCATAGCTTTATCCAAAGGACTCTCAAGAACTTACCCCCTTGGACCTCTACAACTTTATCTCTTGTGCTCTGGGTTGTATCCAACCATATTGTTTATAGAGCCTGTAGTGTTTGTTGCTACCCAACATTTTCAGTTTCATGCTTCAATACTTTCCCTTCTATGCCTAGAAAAGCTAACCTTCTCAAAGTCAGCACAGGTATAACCTCCTCTGGAAAGCTTTTCCTTATTTTCCAGTGGGTTAGGTTCCTCTTCTCTTTTATTACCCACTACTGCCCTATGCATACCTCTATCAGAGCACTTACACTATATACATGTAGCACTCTATTCGGCAATCACAAGTTTGCTTGTTGGTTTCATCAAAGTTAACTTTTTGAAAACATAATTCATGTCTTATTTTTTTACCCCAATGCTTAGCCCATGGCCGGTATACAGTAGATGTGCAATAAATATTTATTTTTAAAAAAGAAAGAAAGAATGCTAACAAACTTCATTTTTGTAGGTGCTTTACAAAAATATTTCTTTTCTTTTGAACACATTGTTTCTTCAAATTACAATATATGGTTGATTGTCATACAGGTAATATTGATTGAATTTTGAGAGCTCTTCATTAACAAATTGAGACAATTTCTGGAATTGTACTATTTCTGAGAGGTGGCTGATCCTACCATTTTCTTTTCCCTAGTTAATTTTTATCTTAGAGATTAACATCATTAATAGGTAAGAGTGCCATGCTATTGGCCCCATATACCTACCCCTATGATATCTAAAGTACATTTCAATTCCTAGGGTTCATGCCCATTTATTTGGATTCTAGGTGCTATTTGATTATGATATTAACTTTCCACTAGGTCCGTGGTCAGCAAACTGTGGCTCGCGAGCCACATGTGGCTCTTTGGCCCCTTGAGTGTGGCTCTTCTTAAGCCTTAGGAGTACCCTAATTAATAACATTGTACCTACCTATATAGTTTAAATGTAAAACATTTGACTCTCAAAAGAAATTTCAATCATTGTACTGTTGATATTTGGCTCTGTTGACTAATGAGTTTGCCGACCACTGCACTAGGTTTATCTCAAGCTATAAAAGTATGAAGTGCAAATTGTCACATGCTTAATTTGGGGGAATAATACTGATTAAGTAAATGTTGGGCCGAGACTGAGGGGAGTGATTGGTCAGGAATTTAACAAATGTTGGACTGGATAAAGTAAATTGTATTTCTTTGGACTGAAAAAGTTACTAAAGCTGAACATTCTGAACATCATTTTCTCTGATTATTACCTCAAAGTAACAACTTTAAGATTATTTTAAAAGTATTGTGTCCCTGAACCTGCTTAAAAATAGTATTTAACAGATAAAATTTTTACATTCTGCTTAGTACCGTCTCAAGTGCTTTACACATGTAAACTCATTTAACCATCTGAACAACTCTAAGAGGTAGGTACTATTATTATCCTCATTTTACAGATGATGGAGACACTGAGGCACAGAAAAATAATTTCTCCAAGGTCAAAAGTTATCTGAAACCAGATGTATTAATTAGGTTTAATCCAATGCATATTTATTGAGCACCCACTAAATGTAATAACCAACACAGTGCATAAAAATTGTACACTTAAAGTTAGGAAAAATGATAATGCAATAGTGTCATGAGTGAATTGTCAAGGTGAGTCACACTTCTTTTAGTTAGTGGTTAATGAAGAAAGATGATGTAGTTAATGTCATGAATTGTACAGACATATCTATTTGGATAAGCTTGGTTTGTGGACGACAAAGAAAAGAGTCTTAGTTGACATGTGTGAAAACAAAATTCTCTTTTTGAAGACTCAGATTACTTTTAGAAGGGGTCTCTATGCAGTATGTTTCACATGGGGTAAGGGTAAGAGGGAAATACACAGGTATGACGCTTGTTTGGAGCAGAATGTGTGTGTGTGTGTGTGTGTGTGTGTGTGTGTGTGTGTGTGTGTGTGAATGCGCTTTTCCTGCCTCGCCCTTCCTCTTAAGACTCAATAAAGGGCCTGCCCACAGCACCACCCAATTACCCAAATTCTCTTTACTAGAACTCAGAACCTTCGGATCTGCGCTTTTTAGAAGTGCTTTCACATTCTGGCACCTTAAGCCTGTAAAGCTTTTTAGGCAAATGTTCGGATGAAAAAATGTGCTACTGAAAAATCAAAACAAACTCGAATGCTACCAAAGAGCTATTTTTATGTTAGTAGATTCTAGCTCCTCACCTGTCCATTTTGTCTAAAACCACGCGACACACCTGGCTACACAGCCTCAGTTCCTACTCTGTCCATCCTGTTACCCTTTTAAGAGGGGGATCCCGCAGTGTCCTTTCCTCCTCCCAGCCACCTCTACCCCCAGTCGGCTGGGCGGAGCTTCGTGCCAAAGCCCCAGAGCCCTACGCGGCCGCAGCGAAAGCGAAGAGTACTGGAGCGGCGACAAGCTGCTTCTGCGGCAGCGTCTACTCAGAGGATACGTGCCTCTGGGCTGGAACGGAGCTCGCTGCTCGAGCCAGTGTCTCCCCGCCCCTCCCCACCTGGCGCGCACCTGGTCAAGGCCTAGGTCCTGCCGCCAGCTAGGAGGGCGCGTGTCACGGGCCCTAGGGAACCGCGGAGCGCGCGCGCCATGGGGCCACCGCCCGGGGCCGGGGTCTCCTACCGCGGTAGCTGCGGCTTTTCCCGGTTGCTGGCGTGGTGCTTTCTGCTGGCCCTGAGTCCGCAAGCCCCCGGCTCCCGGGGAGCCGAAGCTGTGTGGACCGCGTACCTCAACGTGTCCTGGCGGGTTCCGCACACCGGAGTGAACCGCACCGTGTGGGAGCTGAGCGAGGAGGGCGTGTACGGCCAGGATTCGCCACTCGAGCCAGTGGCTGGGGTCCTGGTACCGCCCGACGGGCCAGGGGCTCTCAATGCCTGTAACCCGCACACGAATTTCACGGTGCCCACGGTCCCGGGGGACTGGGGACGCAGCGTTCATGTCTCTTGGTTGGCCCTCATCCAGCGCGGAGGGGGCTGCACCTTCGCAGACAAGATCCATCTGGCTCAAGAGAGAGGGGCGTCTGGAGCCGTCATCTTTAACTTCCCAGGGACCCGCAATGAGGTCATCCCCATGTCTCACCCGGGTGAGTGCAGCTACTAAATTGTGCCTTTTCAGACCCCTTCCAAGGCCAGTTTCTCTTATTTTCCTCGATGCTCTCCTCCTCCTCTCCCTTTGCTCCGAAAGAAAATCAGTGTCCGTTCCGTCCCCACGGAATGAAACAGGGGCCTCTTCTCTGGGCGATTTACCCTGCCTTGGGGGTTGGGCGGAAAAACCCTTTACAATTTGTCTCTCCGGTAGAAAAGGGTAAGACAAACAGAATGCGGAGGCTGGCAACTGGAGGAGTGTTGGGGCTCTTTGTGTCGCCTTTACCTGGTGTTTCACAAGGGTGCCTTGCATTGGATTAATTGGTGGTGGACATTGGCTTTGAAATGTCTTGGGAGAAGGCTTCCTGAAAATCCCTTCCTCACTCCTTTCCTGTTTAACAGCCTCAGGCCTGCAGCAGATTTTCCCCTCGCCTCTCCCTGTTTTTCTCTTCATGTTTCCTCGTATCAGGTACAAAGATTGTGTTACTGTGCCCTGTTAACCTCATTGCAGTTTTGGTGGCAACTTTGCTTTGCTCTTGGGCTCTTCTCTGCCCAGGGGTCGCAGGGCCCAAGTGTTTGCTGGTATCAGTGCTTTCTTTTGCCTTTGAAAAGTGACAAAAGAGGTGATTAATGTTATTGAAAAAAGAAGAGGTTTATGCATAAGGAAAGCAGAAGCCTAGACTTTGGGAAAAGTAGTCAAAGTGGGTCTTTAATTTCTGGAGATGATGTGGGTTACAATTTTTCCCTCTGCAGTTATCCTTCCAGAAACCTTTTTCTTAATTGTAATTAGATATCCATAATATATATATATATATATATAGTGATCTTAGCCCAAAAGACAAAGAAACAATTTTTGGAAGAAAAGGGAAGAAAAATAAAGACATAAGAGCAATATATCACAGTTGTTGACAGCTGGGCCTCAAGTCAGGCCTTGGAATTCCGGTTCCATTGCTTACTAGTTCTGTGACCTTGGACAACTTATTTGAAGTCTGAGTCTGATTTCCCTCAACAATTAAATGGGAAAGAACTAAGAACTACTCCCATAGGTTTGCCTTGAGGATGAAATGAAATAAGGCCTATAAAGACAACATCTTTCTCAGTCAAGTTTAGCTAATAGGATTAGTCTTTTAGGAGTTACTGGAGAAATGAATCTATTTATTTAAGTACTTACAGGGATTTTTGTGTGTTTTTTCTCCTAAAACATTGTGTCTAGCACTGCCTAGAGAGCACTTGCATTGAGTGCCTGGGTGGCTTAATGGAAAGAAGACTGAACTGGAACTCAGGAGATTTTAGACTCTTCTTTGCCTCTAACAGCTTTATAACCTTGTACTAGTTACTTAGTCAAATGATAGTATAGAGGTAGGAGTTGGAAGCCAAGTTGGCAGAGTGCGCTGAGACAAAAGTGAACTAGATGAACTCTAATATTCCTTCCTGTGATTCCTTCCTGCTGTGATTCTTAGATTTTATATTGATTAAAGGAGCAACTGTATCTCTCCTGGTTGATAATTCATTGATTAGAGTGAAATTACTCTTTTTATTTTTTTCCCTTGTACTTTTTTATTGTTGACACTACTTCAGTTGTCCCCCATTTCCCCTCTCCACCCAGCCCCTGCCCACCTTGGTCTTCACATTGAATTTATTGGGGTGACATTGGTTAATAAAATTATAAAGGTTTCAAGTGTATAGTTCAATAATACATTATCTGTATAATGTATTGTGTGTTCATCACCTGAGTCAAGTCTCCTTCATCACCATTTATCCCCCCCTTTACCCTCTTCTACCACCCCTACCCCCTTTTCCCTCTGGTAATCCACCATAATGTTGGCTGTCTATGAGTTTTTTGTGGGTGTTTTTTGTTTTTGTTTTTTACTTACTCCTTTCTTAAAAGCTAATAAAAATGAAGAATAAGAACTTGGTAAATTTTAAAGTCCTTACATTTGAATTGGCTACTTAAATGCAAGGGTTTGACTTTGTCTCCTCCAAATGAGATTTGCTTGCATAAGTTATTTGGAATTGAAGAGTAGTCTTTAATTAAAGAGTTTCTACTTTAACTATTTTCATCCTAATTCTGTTAAGGATGTAAGCTTAATATTTATCTGATAGTTTTAGGGGTAATAAAATTAAATTTTGTTGCACTCCCACTGTGTGCCCAGCACTCTGCATACACCTTGGTTTCTAAAGTGCTGAATTTTGGATAGGAGACTGCCTCGTTGGCAGAGAAAGGGTGGAGAACAAAAAGAAGTAGTGGTGGAGGAAACGTGGACAAGAAATGGCAATGTGAGCCCATCTGGTGTTGCTCACCTCATTGCGGGCTTGATCTCCAGTGTGGGGTGTGCAGAAGGCAACTGATCTATGATTCTCTCTCATCATTGATGTTTCTATCTCTCTCCCTCTCCCTTCCTCTCTGAAATCAATAAAACTATATTTTTTAAAAAGAATGTGAATCAAATTCTGGATTTACCATACAATAGCTTTGTGTCCTTATTTAACTTTACTGAGTCTAAGTTTCCCTATCCATAACATGGCAATAATATTTACATTGCTGTGATTATTAATGATAACATGTGTAAACTACCTAGCAGATAATAAACACTCAATTAAAGTTAATTATGATAATAAGTTGATGCTAACAAGAGGTAAAAAAATAACATACAAATATATGATTATGCAACTGTTAGTTTGAAGACATGAAAACACTGGGAATCTAATCATGGCTGTTTTGCTTCAGAATACTATCCTATATAATAAAAGCCTAATATGCAAATAGACTGAACTGGCGGAACAATCGGTCACTATGACGCACACTGACCACCAGGGGGCAGATGCTCCATGCAGAAGCTACCCCCTGGTGGTCAGTGCGCTCCCACAGGGGGAGTGCAATTCAGCCAGAAGCCAGGCTCATGGCTAGTGAGTGCAGCGGTGGTGACGGGAGCCTCTCCTGCCTCTGCTGCAGGCAGGTGGTAAGGAGCAAGGAGTCCAGGACTGCAAGAGGGCACAGCCCTCCCACCACCCCCCACCCCCCACCCCATGCATGAATCTCGTGCACCAGGTCTCTAGTATAGAAATAAAGCCCTAAATGTTGATCACTTAATTAAATTACATTCAGAAAGGTATTTTAATACTTTAAAGATTTCTTATTATCTGAGATTATGACTATGGCAAAGTTTGCCATTAGACTAATTAGCTATAAAAAAGCTAGCTGGTTCCTTGAGGTATGGAATCACATTTATCTCTTGAACTCCTAGAGAAATTACTTTTCAACATGGGGAAATCACTCTTTCACGTGTATTGTTGAACATTTGGCAAAGTGCTATTTCTCATTTGTTTTGCTCATTCCTGAGATAAATCCTAGGGTTCATTGTAATCTCTGGTCAAAAACGACCTATGTTGGATCTTAGTGGCAGAGAGGTCGTACTGAGGTTTAAGTGTTGATTATTTCAATATGTATTGCTATGAATTGCACAAGGGTAACCAAATGTGGAAAAGCCAGTGTTGTCTTCTTTGTTCACAAAATCTCTCTTCACCCACTCTCACAGGGGACTGTGCTTGAATTGTTTGATCTTTGAGTTTATGCTGAGTATCCACACTCTTACCTATTACAATCCTATGACCATGAAGACCCATTTATTCCAAGACAACAGAACTAATTGGTTTATTTCTGGCTTAGAACTGTTTTTAGAATAGTTGCTTTAAAACTGTTGTTTATCAGAGAGAAATTCCACTATGTAAGAGCAATTGATTAGAAAAATGAGGCTGTTTTTATGTATACTGACATTTTACAAAAGGTAAGCTGTAACTTTGCATCAACTCATGCAGTTTATTTCTGTATAGTATTATTTGGGTTGCTAAGTATTCAGAAAATCCTGATTCACACAGATAATTGTAAATGATATACATTTATTAACAGCTTGCCTTGTTATCTCTCAATATTTTTCAGTCAAATTGATCCAGAAACCTGGAAGAAATTAAGAGAATATTTTGGTTTCAAAGTTTAATTACTATTCATATTTCTTAACTACGAAAATAAGATAAGAAGCAGCCCAAACTTAGACTAAGCACTAATGCCTTCTAAAATGTAGGATTGTCACAATGAGACAAGGTACACATGTTTTTTGTTATTGTGCAATTAATTGTTCTGCTTTCACCATGCAGATGGGTCTGAACTTTGCATGCTGCCTAATTTAGCACATCCCACAGGTTCAAATGGTGTAGATACTTGCTTGTCAAATTTTCCTTGAGTCAACATGTGCAGGCATAAGTTTATTGAAAGATCTGTGTAGAGCTACAACCTTCATAACCAATAACACATTTATGAGAACTTGAAACATATTCAAAGGTATGGCAGGAGAGGCATTATTTCTAAGCACTGTAAGAAAGTGAATGAACTAAGTAGTTTAAGTTAATTATTGGCTAGAAAACAGTTGCTTCTATATAATGTTGGAAGACAGTAGAGCATATTAAGAGTTTGGCTCTGTCAATTACTATTCTTAAAATCTTAGACCATTATTTTACTTCTCTAAGCCTCAGTTTTCTCCTATGTAAGATGGGCATAATAATAAACT